TTATTATTATTATTATTATTATTATTATTATTATTATTATTATTATTATTATTTAACAACTATGTTAAATAATGTCTATGGAGATCCTCAGTCATCCAGGTCATGGTTGTCCCAAAAGTGCTTTTTTTTCAAGAGGAAACTGGACTTTCTTTGTTTTTTCTTTTGAAGACGTTTCGCTTCCCATCCAAGAAGCTTCTTCAGCTCTGACTGGATGGTGGGGAATGGAAGGATTGATACTCCTTGCAGACAGCTGGTCATTTGCATTCTTTTTAGAGGGTCGTTGAGGCCACTTGGAGGTTGATCTATATCCTCAGGGTCACCTGAGTAGTGCAAATTGGTGTGGAGCCTTCCTGGAACTGCTGAAAGAACTCCGTGTTGTAGACTGGAGATAGACAATGTCGTATCCCTCTTTCTCTGTTGAAAGAGGGGGCTGTTCAAATTTGAACATATAATTGGCCTCTCGGACCAGCTGTCTGCAAGAAATATAAATCATAAGTCACTTCTTTTTCAGTGCACTTGTTCCTTTGAACAAATGGTTTGTAAGGAGAATGGTAAACCATTTCCTGGGTTTGCAGGATATGTCGCCCCATGGCCTGATCGAAACAGGCTGGAATCCCACTATGTGACACAGAGACATGCCCCAAAAAATCAAGATGGTGGTGCTGCCACTGGCCGCCATCTTGAATTGTTTGACCCTCACGGAACCTTCAAATAAGCTCAGTGTCAACTCATAAAATATGTCTGTGGTCTTTTTAGAGTTGCCAACAGAAAGGGTGGGGGAAGCAGTGCGGCAGCTTGCATTCCATAAATGTTTTCAAAGAAAGTTTCTAGGTGACTGAAGTTCCTGCCGTGCAAAATTCTAACTGGAGAACATGATTGATGACTCTTGGCTATGAATGTGTCCCATTGGAGAATATATGAATTACAATACACCCAGGGGATGGGGAGAAACCAGGGTTACCCTGCAAGGCCTTCTGCTCCAAGAGGCTGCACCGGCATGACAAGTCTCACAAAGACTCATTTCTGGCGGAGTTTGGGGCAGAGAAAGAAAGACTTCTGCTGCTTCTGCTGCTTTCCTTGCATGAAGCCAAAAGTCTCTCACTCTCTCTTTCTCTCAGCACGCGAGCTGTAGGCAAACGTACCTCACTGTGCCTGTGCGCGCCTCACAACTGATTTTTGGCGGGTTTGAGGCCTTTTTCGGCCTCACAAAGGCTTGACGAAGGCTTCTGTAGGCTTTGCGGGCTGAAAACTAGCCCTGTTTCGTCACTTCCTGTTTTTCCGAACATACCGGAAGTGACGAAACGGTGCTAGTTTTTGGCCTGCAAAACCTGCAGAAGCCTTCCTCAAGCCTTTGGGAGACGGAAAAAGGCCTCAAACCAACTGAAAATCAGCTGTGAGGCGCAATGAAGGTAAGGGGGCAGTGGGGCTGGGGGAGGGGTGGGGATTGCGCACACATGCATAGGGGGCATGGAGGGTGCGCATTGCCATCTGGGTGCTGGCAGGCATGCGTGAGCATGCAAGTGCGTGCACAATTTTTGATACACGAGCCCCAAAAGCTTAGCCACCCCTGCCCTACACCATTTCTGATAGAGGACTGTCCCGTCTCTTCTTGAAAGCTTCCAGGGATGAAACTCCCACAACTTCTGAAGGAATGAGGGCATCTAAGATTTAACCCAGCCTGGTTCTGCCAGTTGCCTACAAGCAAAAAAATAAATAAAATCCTCTTGATTTCAAAGAGGAAGTTAAGGCTTGGATGCCAGTCTCTTGTTTCCCTGAGCTGGCTCGTAATTCTCCCTTCCCCCAGCTTCCAGTTGCCGTTGTCCATCTACATTCCCAAATTAAGCTTGCTTCCAATACCTTCATACACACACACACACAGGCAGAGAAAGGACGGAGCGCCGTCCATCCCGAAGGCAAGATGGACAATTGGACACTTCAGCTCGTTCTGTTTTGCACTTTGTCCTTGCCAGGTAAGATGCCCTAAAACCCACCTGAAGCCTAGGATGAGGGCACAGCTAAAGCCCTAATGGAAAACAGCGCCGCGTTTTGCAAAAGAATTAAAAAAAAAAAAAAAGCCTTAGACAAGCCCTGCCTTTGGCATTTCTGAATCGCAGAAACAAACATCTTTAGGAAATCCACCATTCTGAAACTTGGAAATGGATTGATTATCTGGGGTGGACATCAGCAAAATGTCTTTCTTGTCTACCTTTGACTTCGGAGGGTGTAATTTGGGAGTGACACCCAGGAAGGGTTTGAGTTGAGATGTCGGTGGTTTCTCTTGACTTGATTTGCGTGCAAAAAAGGTAGGATGCCTTCTCCTCCAATTCTTGGTGTTTCCTTATAGGAAAACACACACACACACACACAATTGCACTGCACCCAAAATGGTGAGTGGATTACGGTAGCTGGGCTCCATTTTTATATATGTTTGACCTTCCCATCTTCCTTCCATATTTTCTCCGCTGCTTGCGGTCTCCTAAACACAACGGCAACTTGTTTCGTGCGCTTGTGTGTCTACATGTCTAGGTGTCAGCTTGCCCTCAGAAATGGTAGGTGCTGCATCACTGGAGGTTTTTCAGAAGAGACTGGACAGCCACTTGTCTGAAATGGTGTAGGCTCTCTTGTTTAAGCAGGGGGTTGGACGTGGACTAGAAAAATCTCCAAGACAACTTCCAGCTCTTTTCTGATTGTTTGATCGATTGATTTAAATGAAACTAGAATTTCAGAATCTCCAAAATATTCAATAGCAAAGTCTTCCTATTGTACTAGCAACATTTCTTGGTCTGTAAAGAAAGGAAGCTGAGATTTCAGCCAGAATGTTCATAATAGTTTTCCTCCCAGTTTAGGAAAATTGTTCCATCAAAGAACACCCGTAAAAACCAAGGATCTTACACCAAAAGATCACCAAAAGATCTACCGGTTGCACTGTGTTATATACTCAGCTTCCCCGGTGTTATCCTTCACTAGTTTCGTTTTTTTGTTTTGTTTTCTGAAGTCAAGGCTAGGGCTTTCCCAGTTGCAATGTACGGCTGTGAAAGCCGGACCGCAAGGAAGGCTGAGCGCCAAAGAATCAAGGCCTTTGGAGCTGGAGAAGAACCTGCATGTGGCGGTGGAGAACTGTGGAATCGGTTGAGACTTTCAAGAAGAGATTGGACTGCCATTTGTCAGAAATGGTGTAGGGTCTCTTGCTTGGGTGGGGGGGTTGGACTAGATGACCTACAAGGTCCCTTCCAACTCTGATTATCTGTATCTAACCCCGGACAACCATTCGTGCTGCCCAATTCCAAATAGGCTACGGCCTGGTACTGGGCCATGGCCCAAAGGTTGGGACCCCGGTTTTAGACACAACCAGAAGATAAGAGCACGCTATAGAAAATTAGCATCCGCCCCTCTCTTAGAAGAATGAAATATCCTAGGAAGTATTAAAAAGGCGGAATATTTTCACTAAAAGAGAAAGAAAAGTCTTAAAGGAAACGGAAACTCGGCCTCAGTTCCCTGCTCCCAGGAGGATATTTTGGTGCCAGTCTGCCTTCACCCTCAGGACATAATAGGATTAGCCCTCTACCCATCTAACAGCAGAGCTCTCCACATGGCCCCTGGGGATATTACATCAGCCCAAAGTTGATTCAGACCAATATGATTCCACATGGGAGTCTGACTACAGCAACCAATAGAACACCTGCTCTTGCCACAGGAACAGGAAGCTCAAGGGTAAGGCCCAAGAGTGGGTATAAATAAACCTCACTCTCCACTCCTTGTGGTCAGCGACCCAGAATAACACGTGCTTGGTGGTTCTGCTTCAGCAATAAACCATCTTTCCAATCAGCCTCCATGTGTCCAGGTGTCTTTCTCCCAACAACACCGAAAGTAGTTTCTTTGCAAGCAAACCCAAGTTTCATTTCCTGAAACTAGGAATAGCCGTGGAGGCACGGGAGGGCACATTGTTGGCAAACGGGAAGCGTCCGGTTGAAAAGGATCACATTACAGGCAAGTGAGGAGGGAGCTTGGCACAGATTTCCCACAGGGGAAAAAAAAAAGTCCCTTCGGATCTTACCGAATACAGAAAAACAGAATAACAGAGTTGAAAGGGACTTTGGAGGTCATCTAGTCCAACCCCCTTCTTAATCAGGAAACCCTATTTCAGACAAATGGCTTTGCAGTCTCTTCTTAAAAGCCCCGGTGATGAAACATTCACAACTTCTGAAGACAAACTGCTCCGATGGTTCATTGTTCTTCCTGTCAGAAAATGTCTCCTTCCTTCCAGGTTGCTTCTCTTCCTTGATGAGTTTCCATCTGTTGTTTCTTGTCCTGCCTTCAGGGGATTTGGGGAATGGGCTGACCTCTTTGTAGCAACCTCTCAAATACCAGAACACTGTTATCAAGTCCTACTTAGTCCATCTTTTCTCTAGAGTAGCAATACCCAATTCCTGCAACCGTTCTTCATATGTTTTTGTCTCCAGGACCTTCATTATCTTAGTTGTTTACACTTTTATAATTGATTAAATGGTTTATAATTAATTGGGATGCTTGGCAACTGACTCATATATAGAATAGAAATAGAAATATAGAGTAGAGTAGAATAGAGTAGAGTAGGATAGCATAGGATAGGATAGGATAAGATAGGATAGGATAGGATAGGATAGGATAGGATAGGACAGGACAGGAATAGGAATAGGAATAGGAATAGGAATAGGAATAGGAATAGGAATAGGAATAGAATAGAACAGAAAGGAATAGAATAGAACAGAACAGAAACAAATAGAATAGAATAGAACAGAACAGAACAGAAAGGAATAGAATAAAATAGAACAGAACAGAAAGGAATAGAATAGAATAGAATAGAACAGAACAGAAAGGAATAGAATAGAACAGAACAGAACAGAACAGAACAGAAAGGAATAGAATAGAACAGAACAGAATAGAATAGAACAGAACAGAATAGAACAGAAAGGAATAGAATAGAACAGAACAGAATCAAATCGAACAGAACAGAACAGAACAGAATAGAATAGAACAGAAAGGAATAGAATAGAACAGAAAAGAATGGAATAGAATAGAATAGAAAAGAATAGAATAGAACAGAAAAGAAAAGAAAGAATAGAACAGAACAGAATAGAATAGAACAGAGCAGAAAAGAACAGAATAGAACAGAAAAGAATAGAATAGAACAGAACAGAAAGGAATAGAATAGAATAGCTGAGCTGGAAGGGACCTTGGAGGTCTTCTAGTCCAGCCCCCTGGTCAAGCAGGCGACCGTATGCCATTTCAGACAAGTGGTTGTCCAGTCTCTTTAAAAAAAAAAAAAAAATCTCCAGTGTTGGAGCAACCACAATTTCTGGAGGGAAGCAGTTCCACTGGTTAATTGTTCTAACTGTCAGGAAATTTCTCCTTAATTCTAGGTTGCTTCTCTCCTTTGTTAGTTTTCGTCCATTGCTTCTCGCCCTGTCTTCTCTGAGGATGTGTCAAATATCAGTGTCAGGGCAAATCTATAACACAGTGGCTAAAGACTGAGCTATCAACCACAAATTCTCCAGGATTTGCCCTGACCTTCATTTAAACCCAAACTCTCATCTTTTCACTTAAAACAGTGATTTTTTGCATGTGTCTAGGTTATTTTTATAGCAACAGAATGGAAATGATTTGCTGTTTCTTCTTGGGTTATTTCCCCCCCTCAGTTTTGATGTCCATCTTACAGTCATACATATCTTAACCCAGCCTAGCCGCTCTCTCCTGCATGAAATTAGGCCAAGTTCACGGGGCTTTAAGATCAACTACAAATCCTCATCCATCCATCAAATGCGCCATTTCTCAACCTTGGCAAGTTTAAGATGTGTAGATTTCAACTCCCAGAATTCCCTAGCCAGCCTTCATGGACTTTAACTCCCAGAATTCCCCAACCAGCAAGCATGGATTTCAATTCCTAGAATTCCCCAGCCAGCCATGCTTGCTGG